TGCCCTCTGTAACACAAAACAAGTCCTAGATCAGTTCTCGCTCCCTCTAAGGAAACCAATTTCGCATACCGTCTGCAAAAAAAGTCACTTATTAGCATTTATGCAACTGTCACTTCAAACCAAGCGCCTCTTACATGCGAAATGTTATACTCCTTCCCACCTATGAAGGCTTTGACACCCTTCCGCAGTAGCGCTCTGGTCATATCCTCGTCTCTCCATACAGCTGTTATGTTCAATGCGGTGCCATATAGATTGCACCGAGCACTCCTATCTCCTCCCTCCTCCACTAGCTTCTCAAGAACCATCCCCTGCCCAAGCCACGATGCCAGAATCAAATGTGTCATATCTTCGGGGTATCCCCGACAGCCCCGGGTACTGAGCCAGTAAACCTGAAACCATGTTAGAAAGCGTTTAGATCCAGCTTTACAAATCAGTCGTGTAAACTCGAATAACTCCATCTGCCTTTCCTGCGAATCCTGAAAGTGATCAGGCCAGTATCTAGCTGCGTAATCAAAAAAGACATTTCTGGAGGTAATCATCGACCGCCTCCTCTGAAATGTTGCCATCAGTACCCATCGCTAGCGGGTCCCTCTCAAAGTCCTCTAGCGAAAGATAGGAGATACAAATGTCAGCCAATACAAAGTTAGAATCCTTAATGCACAGGTTATACTGCCGGTTTCGTTGACCAGGCAAAGGTCGCTTAAGCAGGAACTCCCTCGCGGTTTGGTGAACGAGGTGGATCTTGGAATCGATAATGCGTACTAAATGACCACACAGATTTTTTACCGGCCTCCCGAATTCAGGGTAAAGAGCCTCGAGGCTCTCAGTTGAATCGTGGTCATGGCTGATTCTGAATGCGACATTCATTTCCTGAAGTGTAAGTGGCCTTACAGCTGCTAAGACTATATTGAGGATCTTTTGGGCTTTGTCGTGGAATTTGATTTTTTTAAGAATCTTGTTGTACAATTCGTCTAGATCGTGTGGTGTAGTGGTAACAATGCGAGTTAACTCCCCCGACGAACAATCCTCACTACCCTCCAATTCCGCGAGAACAAGAGAAACCCAAAGGAATGTCCAATCGGGAGAAGATCGGAGGAGATCTCGCAAGTACCCAAGACCCCCGGGCATTCCCCAGTATATCTCTAGCTGCTTAACGCCATCATCGATAACACGAGAAACGTCGGCAGTAACAGCCTCGAGCTCTTCCTCTCCTTTCAGCCGGATTGTCGGTGTGAGTAAACAAAGGCCTCTCTCAATTTCGTAGTACGGGCGACTCGTAACAAGGAGTTTCAACGGTATACCGGAATTCCCTGGCTCAGAAAGGCGGGGCACCAGACGGATGAGTTGAGCTTGAGTTCCCTCATCTCACTCATCCAAGGCATCCACCACACAAATCACACTGCCGCACTCCCCCTCAGCTACCGTCTTTACCAAAATATTCCACAGCGCGTCAACCTCCTGAGTCAACTTTTGACCTTTCGCCTTGAACTCTTTCTTTGCAAATTCGGGGAGACAATTTTTGTGCACGAAGATCTGATGCAATATGGCGCAAAGAGCAGACGCTGCGCTCCTCTGCTCATCGTTATCATCTTTAAAAAAGAAATGGCAAACGATGGTGTCCGGTCGGCGTTCCAGATGCCTTACGAGGAATGAAGTGGTGACGGATTTTCCGCAGCCTGGGTCCCCGGAGAGCCAGAGGAGACTGGATGTCTTATTTTCCAACCACTCCTTATACTTTCGATGTTCTGTGACCCAGGAGCATGTTCCTTCAACTAGGTCCCAAACCCAGCGTCGGTGTTCCTCGTATCTGGATGTGTACAGGCATTGCAAAATTTTGCCATCGCTTTGGGGCGAGTCCGTGTCCTCGTGGCTGCAAGTGACGATAGTATTACCGGAGTTGACAATATTCCTTGAACCGGAGTTGCCGCTACCCTCGCCGCGAATATAGCTATAGGCCACAGTAGGAGAACCGGGCAGGCTAACATTAATGGTTAGAAGCGTCGATATGTTTAAAAACACAAGTACATACGGTTGGGGTGATGAAGGGTCCCCAGCGTGCGGGTTTGATTGTCGATTGCCCATATTATCAATAGATGCTTAAGTTGAACGAGGGTATGTTCCGCTGATGCGGTAATTGAATGTGTCGCCTAATATCCGTAAAGATTATCGACAAGTAGGTAACTTATGGAGGAGTTAGAGGGACAGAAGGGCGGGGGAGCGTCGAGATCCCACTGTTTTGGGGGGTGCAAAAGAGGGAGTGCGCGGGGAAGGCGCCAGCTCCTCAAATCATACCCCGCACTGCTCAGGCACGGAGTTGCACATTTTTAAGGACAAAAGTGCACACATAAAAAATGAATGTGCAACCATAATGCCCTCCAATAAATCCCCCACGTTGAGCATGGAATGGTATCAGTATACACAGTTTCAAGCTAACTATCGACTCCAACCATGGAGGAGGCGATACTGAGGATCGTCACGTAAAGTGAATTACCATTTCCCGCATTCAGGGTGATATGGTTGATCGGTATTTGAAGCACATTATCACTGCTACTTTAAGTTGTCAACACAATAACATGAATAAGCAACCCGCCCCCGGAACTGGAAACACTTTTGAAGTTTAACCCGTAAATGACCACATCACTCGATGAACTTACCAGGTAAGGTATACCAGAATTTACTACACGAAGAGAATGACAAGTTCCAACCTTGGTCCGCTAATTCTATTCATGAGTCGAGTGGGTCACATCAAGTAACCAGTCAAACATGATACTTTCGAGATTTTCCTCCTTCTAGAATACTGTACCATACTGTGCATAAAAGGAACATTAGAGGAATTTGCTGGTTGAGTGCTAGTCACCATTTCTCAGAAATGGGGATGGAGCACGGAGAGAAGAGAGAGAATCCCAGCAGAATTCAAGCCCAGTATTGAAACAATAACTTTCCAATGCCTCCTTATCGAAGGGCAGGTTGGCTACCACACGTATCTTCTACTGTACTTCTACACCCCCCGTCCCCATCCGCAGTACAGTACCGGCACAGTCCAGCACCGCAATAAAAGTTCATCAATGAAGAAATTGGAGTCTTCTTTAGGTAATGTCCAGACCCCCTAACTTGGAACTCATTTCTGACAGCCTAGCATGTCCCTCACCGGCTAGAGTTGGGGACTCATCATGAGTCGGGTAGCGTCATAACAGGAGTACCAATTAAGGCACCGGAGATAGAGAGTGCGGTTGGATGGCAAGTTAGGTGGCTACCGGTGCCAATACCCAACTAGAGAGCCGCCGAGTTATCTAATGTCAAATCATATAGGTAGCATATCATACAATGATTATTCCCGCCAGACCCGTCCCCACGGCCTCGACCTAGCGGGGGTAGTGACCCTTTTTATAATCACAGTCCATCACTCGGGACCACCATCTAGAGCTAATTAATCCACAGGAGACGAGTCAGTAGTCTCTTGTCTGCCTGCCCAACCGAAGCGCAATGGGAGTGTGGGGCCCGCAGTGAGATACAAAGCCTCTATATTGGGAGAGAAAGGGTTGCGTGAGAGCCCTCGTGGGGTTACTCTGCTTTTAATTCCTTTCTCTGGCATCACCCACGCCTGGATTGGGGCTCATACAATTGGTGGTCATTTCGGTATATCACAAGGCAGATGTACTCTTCATGGAGTTACCCTTCCTGTCCAGTGGTCGAAGTGCACTGTTCAACCTATTGGTTCTGCTCTAGATTTAGTCAACACCGCTTCATCTAGTATATTCTAGCATCACTTACAATAGACCCGGATAAAGAGGCAATGGGATCAGATGGCGTGTCAGAGTCTGAAAATTCCATGGCAATCGACACCTCTGCGTCTGGGACTCCATCAGGCAATCACTCAACCCTTTGCTCACCAGCGGCATTCTACTCTAGCGAGCGTTTCCCCTCTCTTGTCCCTCGCCCAAGCACTCGGCGCCTATTGGGGTGTTCACCACAGGCTACTATTCAGATTCCGAGTCTTCGGCAATTGAGGAATACCCAAATGGGGAGGACTTTGATAGCGATGCGTCTACTAGTAGTGCATCTTCCGCTTATGGGGGGATACCATGAGCTCCTATTTCAACGATGCTGCTGTGGCCCGTTAGAAACCGAATTCCCCCTCCACTGGGTCTTCTTTGTTGATTAGGAGATCTCTCGCATGTGGCTGGATGTGGAGTTGAATGCTTCCGACACCTCTTCCGAAATCGACTGCGCACTGGCGAACTCTATTTAGACGGGTGCGATGATGCTTGAGTGCGGGTTTAAAGAGTAAGTTATTCTAGACAGGTCTGGAGAGGGATCCGGCTATTCTAAGGGATCCGGCGATTCTAGAGGATGGGCAATGTGCCTAAGAGGGGCAATGGCGGTGCGTGGTGGCTACAATGAGGATATTAACTAAAGATGATAACCTTTGAAACCCCGCTTTGTAACATGTGCCAACTAATATGTGCATATTATTTGGTGGCTGGGAGGCAATGTTGCCTCTAGCCACGAAGAGTAGTTGGGCTCGAGCCTAACTAACATCGAACCTCACAACCCAAGGCCCGACGATGCTCCCCAGGAGATTTCTAAATCCTATGATGCTAACTTGTAGTTTTTCAAGGCACCTCAGCACTGTGCTGAGGCTTTTTCCTAACATCAACCCACTTCTAAGTTAGGTAGGGAGCGTCCGCTAATGCCATAGAATCGCCAACAGTGCAGGCATCTACCAGCACGACAAAGAACCTCCCCCCAGACTCGTCACTATCCGAGGGAAAGGTGTTCCGAAATATTGCCCCTAACACAGAGTACTACACCCCGAAATCACCAACTATTCACATTCGCACCGATCTATTACTCTTTGTGAGAATAATAACCCGGATAAGTTACTCCCAAATCGGTGGTATATATCCCAAGTTACCAACGGAACAAGAGAATATATCCAAAATCCCAGGTTATGGACCAGATTTCAGTGTCTTAATTACCCAGAAACCTGTTTCCCAAATTTTTTAAGGTTTTGTGAGAGACGATTTATTTCGCTGGCCAAGCGGCTTCCAATATTGTTATTCATGGTGCCAGATGTCCGAGTTTTTGTTCCTCACTAGGAGTTCAGTACAGTACTCTCACACTTTAGAGAATTCAAAGGTAATAACTAGAGTTTGAGTTGAGTCCCCTCCCATTTCATTTGTTGCATTAAAAATCATTACTCTTAGACGAATGGAAGACATCAACCGAATATAACAGTGGACCCAACTCTAAAAGCCCCAACTACCCCGGGTCAGCAGTTTATAATTGCTGTTCCGCTCTCTCCTTGTTTCCTTCCCTTCCCATCGCAACCCCCTCTTCCTCCACGTGAAGTGTTCAACCTATGATACCAACGGCGTTGCCAAATGCGTAGTTTCATATTCAGGAAAGACATGCCTACCGAAGCAAAAGAGCTGTGTGGAAATTCAGGACTCTCAGACCAATAAAGACAAACGAGAGGAAAAGAATAACATTCTTGTCCAGTAACGCAGTTGGAAGACGGTCGTGGTAGTGAAATCGTGAACCTTCAACCGAATATCGGAAAATGGGCTTGCCGCTTTTGGCACAGGACATCTACTAGCAACACCATTTTTCGAAGACATTTCGCAGGCAAGTTTGAGGTCAATAACTCTGAATTCCCTTAGTGATCTTTTCCCGCATAAAATAATAGCCCCATCCTTGAACCAGCACATACTAACGTAGACTTGTGGAGGGAATGGAAACTTGGGAGCGGGCGTTGTGCCCGGAATGACAAGAAAAGGGGTGAAAAAAACGACTATAAGGATTGACTGAACAGGATCAGGGAGGCGGGGGTAATGGCCACCGTAGTTGAGGATTACCGGCCAATAACCGCGGTGAGAGGCTAAGGGAGTACCAGTAGTTGTAGCCATCGTTACATATAAATCTAGAGAAAGCAATAGGAAGATTCGGTAAGGAGTAGGAAATTACATCAAAGGGGGGGTGATACTATGGCCGAGGGGTTTAGTGGGGAGAGGGTACTCGAGTATTGTACTGTGCTGCGCATTATTTCTCTTGGAAGGAAATAGCGGCACGATCTAAATTCCACTAATTTGCACAAAATTACTATCATGTTTTTACAGCAGAGCCTACCGTATTCTACATGCTCGGTCCAGTCCCTGGATACCCACAAAAGTGGTCCTGGCGTTTCCTGGTTGTTTTTTTAGTATCATACAAGCTATGATAGAATCGCCCATCAATCCCTACCATGCATGTGACCCACCCCACAACTCGTGACATGGTAACTCAATGCCCAGCGGAACGACCGGAATTCGTACAACGGCCACTTGCACCGCCTCAACAACTCACACGCTCAGCCCTCCACTTGTATCTCCCTACTATAATTACCTCTCCTACTCGTACCCCAGGGGGTATTCGTACGAGTACCGTACATCCCGTGCACAGACTCTATTTAGTATTATTAGAAACCGCTCCAAAGACTCCCCCAGCGTCCACAAACAGGTCATAACCCCTGGCGAGTGTGTGTTCGTGATGGTCCGTGATGCACTATCAACGTGAGCCCAAGCTTTAACGATCCGAGGCTAAAGGTGAAATACCGGTCCCTATCCCGACCCCACCATTCACTTACTCGAGTATAGTATAGGCAGCCACAGGACTCTAATTCATGCGTGCAAGCATCTGGGGTATTCTTAATGTGGAAAGAAAATACAGGAAGTTGAAAATAAGGTATAAAAAAATTCTAATAGCTTTGAGATACGTGTTTTGTGTGTGGCTAGAAACCCATGTTTGAGGTATGATACTAATGGATTATTAATCCTACCATTGCCGACACCAAACCTGCCCTCATGCCACTCATGCGGGCTGTGGTCACCGACCATGAGGGAGTCATCAAGTTGCTGTTGGAACGAGAAGATATCGATCTTAACCATGCATGCATCAAATACAGCTGAACAGTACTCAGGTGGACTTTGATGGGTAGAAACGAGGGGGTAGCAAGATTGCTATTATGATGCCACAATATCGATCCTAACTGTGCCAATACCGAACCTGGCCTAACGCCACTCATGTGGACCACAGTTGATAGTTATGAGAGAGCTGTAAAGTTGCTATTAGAACATGAGGACATCAATCCTAATCTTGCATGCACCAAATCCGGCGGAACAGATTTGTGGGGAGTGTGATGGTTGGACACGGGCATGTGGTCAGATCTTTATTGCAATACGACTATATTAATCTCAACCTTGCCTGCACTGAAGAGGGCATGATGCCACCCATGTGGGCTGCTGTTGCCCCAGAGGAGGGAGGGAGTCATAAAGTTGGTACCAGTATCAGAGGATGTCGATCCTACTCTTCCATATATAAATAATAGTTGTACAGCACTCTTGTTCACAGCGGACAGGAGACATGAGGGGATAGTAAAATTGTTGTTACAATACAATGATATTAATCTTAACATTACCAATACCAAAGATAGCCTAACACTACTCATGTGAGCTGTGGTCGGCATCCATGAGGGAGTTATAAAGTTGCTACTAGAGCAAGAAGATATCGATCCTAACCTTACATGTAAAGTACCTCCCCAAAAGTGTTGGTGAAATGGGCTTTTTACACCAAAAACATTGATTTTTTGCCACTGGTAGTTTAGGAACCACAAACGATTTTACAACCTGACTTCTGGTATGTAGTTACAATAATCCCACCCTACTCCTACTCAACTCTTAATAACTTTGGGGAAGAATTGAAGAAGTTATGCAGTCCTAAAGTTTTGACTTCACTGAAAAGCCTCATTTTACATACAAAAATGACATAGCAACAGGTATTGTCAACTTTGGAGACTTGTAGTTTAGCCCCATAGAATAAATTGACAAAATAAATGGTGTTAGGTAAAAGCTGCAGTGAAGGTGAAAATAATTATATGGGTTGTAAGGATCATTTGAAGCAATTCCAGGTATGGGGATTGATCAAACCTGCCAATTTTTGGTGCTTTGGTGTAAAAAGGTCATTTTACCAACACTTTTGGGGAGGTACTTTATCAAATATGGCTGGACAGCAGACACATAGGCCTTGAATCATGAATAAAGAAGGTAGCAAGGCTGGTGTTAGAATAAGGATTGGTCTGGACAGGAGTAGATTGATGACAGATCAAGTTGTGAGAGTAGATGCAGGCAAAAATATGCAATAGCAATTCCAAGATATCTTTCACACTTTCTTTTATTCTATGGTTGAAAGAAAATAAAAGTATTAATAGAAATAGTTTATACTTATATCTTTTCTCTAGTATTACATGCAGCCCAATCAGATCATATGTGAAGAAAAACAGATTAGCGTGGTAAGCGATGGAACTAGCAAGATGATTTCCTTGTCCTCTATACTCTTATGTTTGTTTAGTTAGTAAAGATGACAATCAACTGAATTTCCAGAGTATCCTTACTTCAGTCACTTTCCTGTCTAGTTTACCTGTTTAACCATTGCACCATTTATTACTGGCTCTGTGTTTGGTCCACAAGGTTGTCTGGAATATACCACATATACTAAGTAGCTGAGACTCTGTTACAAAGTGTGACTAAGCAAGGCAGATTTCACATAGCTCGGGCTTCCGAGTTATATGTTAGGATTTCACATGACACACATTCGTGCGCCATAGGTTATTATGTTCACCTGTTCGTGACTCACAGTTGTGAGTCACACGATGTTATGGTTTTCACACATGACTCATACTTATGAGTCATGAGTTTCACTCAGGTGACACGAGTTGCGCACCTGACTGGGTTATTATGTTTTGATTGGTTTTAGACATATTGCGCAGCGACTCATATGAGTCGTCTGATAGATTTCGCATGACTCATGGTTATGAGTCACAGGGTTTGCGTGACGCGAGGTATGAGTCACGTCAGGTGAAGAGCTACTATATAAAGGATCACTAGGACCCTGAGTATGAGCTCTTCACACGTTCTTCTAGTTTATTTCCTACCTTTAAGTTATCATCAATAAAAGCTACCTTTATACTCTTTAAGATTTATCTTAAGAAACCCAAGAATTGTCTTTCCTCCCACGAGAAGAGATTAAGTCCCAAGCGAGGACTGAGGAGAAGAGTAAGGAGATAGGCGCGAACAATATAGTAGTCATCGGACTAGACTATTACGATCACATAGGCATAGGCCTAAGAGCTATCACCTTACACCCAGAGAAGTATCGTTACCTGTCGCTTGGTCCTACTCGGTAGGATTCTTAACATTAAAACGTGTCTACAACGCGGCACTTAACGATTACACCACGGATCCTTTCAACAGAGATCACGAGGAAGACATAGACGTCCAAGACGACAGTCTAGGATTAGGAGGATTGGAAGAAGCGCTTAGCGAAGCAAGCCGACACTCAGCAAGATCAACAAGTCCTGTTATCCCAGAACCAATTACTCTACCTATACCAGAAGAAACTTCAGATACATCAAGACCTGAAAGAATGTCAGGACCAGCACTGCTACCAGGTCCGCCACCAGGACCGCCACCAGCGGGACCAGGCATGTTCACTCGAGAAAAAGTGCAACAGATCATACGAGAGAAATTCCGAAATAAGGATCAGAAGCCAAAAGTCAAAACACCACCACCAAGATACGATGGTGAAAGAAGCAAACTACAAGGATTTATGGTCCAACTCCTCACATACTTCAATGCAGTAGGGTGGAACCAAGAATACGATGACGACAAAATACGCTACACCTTGACACTACTCGAAGGAGCGGCCCTACAGTGGGTTACTCCTATAGTGCTCAGTCAGACACCCAGACCATGGACAACCTGGGACAGCTTCAAAATCATATTTGAAGCCCAGTTCATGAATATGGAACTGAGCCAATCGGCGTGGAACAAATTGGAAGACATCAGACAAGGAACGAAGAATGTCACCAATTATTGGTATGAATTCAGACTTCTCCAATATGATGCCGAATACGACGAAGCAACAGCAATGAGGTGGTTCATGAAAGGTCTGAAGAGGACCTATCAAGAAGCCTGGAGATACAGCGAGGAAAAATTCACGACTACAAAAGCCATGGCCAGCTGGACCATTCGAAAAGAAATTCAATTTGGACAACTAGACTGGATACAGAAGAATCAGCCAGCCTCGACCCAGTCTAACCAAGCGAACACTTGAAACCAAAACAACCCCAGGAACCAGAATGGGACCTATAGGACCATGACCCAAGGAGGCGATGCAATGGACCTGGACGCAACAAGGAGAAGACCGCCGCTCAACCCCAGAAGAGACGAATCCCTTAGGAGATGAAACAACAATTTGTGCCTAAGATGCGGAATAGCAGGGCACATGATTAAGGATTGCAGATGGCCGGTCAACCCAAATCAAGGAAGAAGCCAACAGAATACCAGGCCAAGAACTAGATTCCAACCCCGCAGCAATATCAGGGAAATCGATATCAAAAACGAATACGAAACGGTGGCAAAAGACAAAGGTTCCCAGCAATAGATGGTCTGCAGGACTCTCCGAAAGACAAACCCATCTCGACGGCCAACTACTACACTCTTTTAAGGCAGAAAAGGAACAATAATGACAATGATCATATCATGATCGAAACCACAATATACGACGACAAAAAACAAGCAACAAGGATACATGCGATGCTCGACTCGAGAGCAACTGAAGACTTCATAGACGAAGAAGTCTGCAAGAAATATCAGTTAAAAACCAAGAAAAGAAAGAAGGAAAGGCAGATTTACCTCGCAGTCGGAAAACCCAGTGATATAGGGCCAATTACCCATATAGCGCAAGTACCTATAAACATTGGAAATCATAGGGAAGTGGCGACCTTCCAAGTGGCGAATCTGCAATACCATGAGATAATCCTAGGAATGCCATGGTTACGACAACACAACCCCACCATCAGTTGGGAAGAAGGAAAGGTTACGTTTGCCAGCGAACGATGTACGACATCGTGTCTCAACAGCTCGCCGGTAATATATGCAACACCAGAAGAAGAAGCAATCCAAGAGAATTTAGATGCGAAGTTCAATCAAGTTCAACCAAGAAAGAATCCAAGAATCAAAGTCAAGAAGCTAAGCCAAGAAGTAAAGATACCTACAAGAGGATCCAGGAGGGCAGCAGGACACGACCTGTATGCCAACGAAGAAATCAAGATACCGGGCA